AGAGCTGGCGATTGACAACATGAACAGAGCGCTGCGACTGACGAGGCTCGCGCAGACCTCACGCCAAACGAGGCACGCGGGCAGACCCCGCTTTCGTTAGCTGCTCATGTGGCGCCCGGTCGATGGTTATTCGATACGATACCACCCGTACAACTATTGGGCGTGGCTAATTGACGCTATCGGTGGACGCCTAATTGTGCAATCGATTCATGTAATTAGGGCCAACGAGCATCGATCTAACGGCCCTATATTGCGGCCAATGGTGGCTAGTTTAGCGGTGAAACCGATAGGCATGGAACAGCCCTTCGCTGCCAATCGTCGACACGCATCCATTCGGAGTTCGTTGACGACCCAAAGTTCAGCGATTTCACATCAACATCCACGGACCTTTGGCTGTCAACTGGTGCGTGTAGCAGTAGGAGCGCCCGATGCCGGCTTTACCAAATGAGTTAACATCCCGGGCTTAATTTATTCCTGCATTTATCCCCATTCAATGCCTGTAACACCGAGCTGTAGGCATTCTACTGACACAGCTCCTGGTAAGCCAGTCCGTGTCGACGCAGTCCAGTAACGCAGTTGTCAGTACCTAATGCCCTAGAGGTTTTCACCTCGCAAACCAGGAAGTGCGTATTTTCACTTCGACCGGTCGCCAGATGTCCTGCCCAGGCTAATTGCACGATTCCCTCCAATTTATATATGTAATATGTAAGCCACATGGCGGCGCACCGCACTTTCCCGTCCTCTGGAGTCTGGACAGAAAATAAGCATCCCTCGGGCTTGTGTTCCAGTCGGAATAATTAAACTCCCGTTGCTATCCGTAACAGAACGTTAATTGGTTCAGAGGCGTTTCATCTTTGCTAATGAAAGAAGATGCTCATTAGTTTGCATACCGGGCGTGCTGCTGCTTACGCCACCGTATCCTCCCTGTGCCGTTTCGTCACAATACGGTCCCGGTGAAAGGTTTGGTCCAGTGACTGTGCCGGTCCCGGGCCCGCGGCGGCTCCTGGCCATCCCTGGCCGGGCTGCCGCTCAGAAGGTGACGACTTGACCGTGACACCGTTTCCCGCCCGACCGGCCGCGCCCGGCCCGCCCACTCTCGCCCGGTGTGGTCGGACCGGTGCTGACCGCTGGCCGCTGGCCGCTAACTACTGATCGTGAACGAGACGGCGAGTGGTCTAACGACACCTGCCCCTGCTCGCTGAGCCGTTTAACCAACACTAGCCCCTGCTCGCCGAGCCGTTTAACCAACACTAACCGCAGGTCTCCTAGTGGTCTACGAAGTTGACAATGTTTGCTGAGTGGTCAAACTAACATTTACCGCAGGTCAGTGGTCGCTGAACTGTGACCGATGCTGACCATTGGCCGCCAAGCTGTCTGACCAACACTAGCCGCTGAGAGCCTTGGCACCGACCGTCGCTCGGTTGGGCAGTCCGCCACCTTTGGAGTCACCACGCTGGCCCACCGATAGTACAGCGGCTGTGTGCTAGATATGGCAGTGGTGGAACGGTTTGATTCTCCTGTCGCATCAGTGTGCGGCGGATTGCGTGGTTTCCCGGCCAATCGTGACCTGCGGGTCACGACTTTGGCCGGTATACCGACCCTCGGTCCTTTCCCTTTCACGCATGCCGCGATTCGCGCTTCTTGCGCAGACTTTTGCAGGTCTTTGTAGCCGCCCGTGGAACGCATTTCGTGGTAGCTTTCCGAAGAATAGGAGGTCCGTTCAGTTACATGCGGGCTCAGCGGCGTATTTAGAAAATCGCGAAGGGGGGGGCCAAGGGTTTGGAGGGCGCCACCTCACCCAAGGAGGGCGCCATACGGTCGCGAGATAAAAAATCGCTCAGCGGGGTGGGGGGGGGGGGGGGTGGGGGGGGGGGGGGGGTTGGGAGGCGTTTTTTACCATGCCACCAGTTTTTTTTTTGCGTAACCTCGTATAGGTCGTGCTGCATTGATTTTGCATCGTGTGTATTCTTTATACTCCAGGTCACAAAAGGTCAAGTGTTCTTGAAATGCTGCGCCGAAGGCGCGCGAAATTTTTGAAAACAACCTTTTCCTCCGCTTTTTAGGCACGCCTTTTATACGATCACCGTTCAAAGCTCCTCTCGCTCTTTTACCAAATTTGAAGGTGTAAAAAATACCTAAGGTTTGGTCGGGCCGCTGCCACACAAACTGTATAGAAAGCTTGGCTCATGGGTGTCGATGTATAAAAGTTTATTGGCGGTGGCATATCTACGCACCAGATCACCGTATCGGATTGATACCGGAGCGCGAGATGCGTAAACATCATCCAAATTACCTCAGACCAGCCTTCATAGCCTTCTCACAGATGCATACAGTGTACCCACATAACCAGTTTCAATCACCGAAACTTCAGATGCCTGCTGTTGCGGCCGAACCTGTTGACAATACTTAATCGTAATCCATATAGATGCCATGATGCACGTAAAGTAGGATCAATCCGTTAAGACCAAAGACGTGTTTTATGCATCGTAGAGCGTAGATAGTTTTGGTAGGTATAGGTACTTCATTCATTGTGCTGAATGCACGTTCATTTGTGGCAGTTTTCACAGGCAAGACATCAACTATGTGCAATAGAACGACTAAGTTGAAAAACATGCCAAAGGAGTAAATAAATGATAAGAGGGCAGCGATCAACGGATGTTGCCAATAGGTAGAAGGGCTGCGATCCACAGGAGGGCGCTAATAGGTAGAAGAGCCCCGATCAACATCCCGAGTTTCGATAGTAGGGCACCGATAGGTAGGAAGTTGGCGAGCAGCAGGAGGGCGCCAATGGATAGAAGGGCAGCGATCAACAGGAGGGCACCAATAGGTAGGAGGGCCCCGATCAACAATCAACAGGAGGGCGCCACCAGGTAAGAGGGTGGCGAGGAACAGGAGAGCACCAATAGGAGGGTGGCGATCAACAAGAGGTCGCCAATAGGTGGGAGGGCGGTCATCAACTGGAAGTCGTTAATGAGCGGAAGGGTGACGATTTAAATGGGGGTGGCAATGGTGAGGAGGGCGCCTTTGCTCAAGAGGATGACACGAACAGGAGGGCGTCTGTGCGGAGGGCGCTGGTCAACAGGCAGGTACCAGTGGATAGGAGGGCGGTGATCAACAGGAGGGTGCCAGTGGTTAGGAGGGTGGCGATCAACACGAGGGCGCCAATAAGAGAAGGGCCCCGATTAACATTCAACAGGAAGGACTAGGGAACCAATAGGTAGGAGGGCGGCACTGAACAATAGGGTGCCAAAAAGGAGAAAGGCGGCCTTGAAAATTTCACATGAGGGGGCAATAGGTAGGAGAGCGCCAATAATTATGAGGACGCCGATCAGCAGAAGGGCGGCAATATGTAGCAGGGTGGCGACCTACAGGAGGGCGCCTTCGGGTGAGAGGGCGCTTATTTACGGGACAGCGGCTTACATAGGCGACCACCGTTACGCTTAGAGAGCTACAGCCTACAAATGTGGTTGGAGGGCGCCCGAGGGAGCCCTCCAACCGTATTTGGAGGGCGTATTTGGAATGGGCGTCCTCCGAGGGCGCCCTCCATCCGTATTTTCCCTGTAAACACATTCGCGATTGGAGGGCGCCCTCCAGTCGCGATTGTTTTTCGATTCGATTATATCACAATTGCATTTGCGATTGGAGGGCGCCTTCGGCGCCCTCCAATCGCAAAGGCGCCTTCGGCGCCCAAGGGGGGGGCCATGGCCCAGTGGCCCCCCCCCCTGCCTACGCCCCTGTGCGGGCTGACTGAACAAAGCGATGTTCCTCCACACTTGCGTAGCATACCACGGCGGTGTAGTCATTGTTCATCGATTGTCCTGGTCCTGTTTTCCTGCACATGGCTGCCATGCCGTTTTTGGACATCACAGCGTCGGAATGGTTGTAGAAATATGTGATGCTATCAAGAGCTTGCAGGCAATGTTGTAAATGAAATCCGCGTTTCGCTGAGGTTTGCTGTTAGCTGGATCATATGTCATAGTGTGCCTGGCCGCTACAGTTAGGCATATCGCTTCCAGGACCGGTAGCTCTATCGATTTGTTTGCCTGGTGCGGACCGGTGTCTTTCTGGGCTGGCTCGCTCCTTAATTATGGGTTTAAAGTAGACATTACTGCATCAGCTGTGCCCTAATTCCCATTTTGGTGGCGTATGTCTAGCGGAGGGCCGTAGCCGGCTGCGGCACAGTACCGGGTGGGGAACGGCCGGTGTGGGCCGCAGATGGCTCCGTTCGTCCCACTCCCACGGCGGAGACGGCGGTCTGCCGCCTCTGGGAACTGGTGGGACGGTCGCCCACCTGCCGATACTCGAGTCACGCTCGGTCCGCACGGACGGCGGCGTCACTCAGACCGTCACGGACCGTCCGTAACGGTGTAACGAGAGTCGTGACGGACGCGGGGATCTCCATGACGCTCGAACTGATCTCCGTGACCAGCCGGCGATCTCCGTGGTCTGCCCGTTCTGAGTCACCCGCCCGGGCTCGGTACTGCCTCTCACCGGATGCGTGGGGTGCGGTCCGGTCCTTTGTGGACGGCCGTGCTCTCTGCCGCCGGGAGGGGGGAGGTTTTGTTGTGTCCGCCGGCGCTGATGGTCGTTTCCGGCCGGTATAATCGAGGGATGCCGTGGCACGAGAGCGGCCCCGCCCCTGTGTTTGGATCAGATCCCACCCAACGGCACGCAGCCCGGCCGGCGCAGGATAGATAGGCCTAACCCCCACCTGTCACCTCTGCGTGGTCCTCCAAAGCAATCGGTCTCGGCTGATAAATGAATGTCGATATCGACTCACTCGTTAGCGTTGTTACACTTGTTAGTTGTAAAACATGAAAGCTTTAAATGGTTCATTAGCTCGAGCTTACCGAACTTACACATGCACTTTTTTCACTTGCCTTCTGTCGCTAAGAACTTAGTTGAAGTGTTCCTTCGCCTGCCGTAATGCCTCTTTTTCGAGTTGTGCTGTCTTTCTGTGTGTCCATGTTCCATCAATAACCCTTTTCTCCATCCGGCAGACCTCGGGCGCGAACCGGGCTCTCCGCCTGAAGGCCGCTCCCGAGACGGCGGCCACGCTGTCGGCCGGTCGGCGGCCCGGCGCCCCGCCTCCGTCGGTGTTCGACGAACGACAGTACGTGGCAGGAGGCGCCCTGAGACCCGGCGAGGACCCCTACAAGCGTAACAAGTTCAACCAGAAGATCAGTGACAGCCTGGCCAGCGACCGCAGCATACCGGATACCAGAAACTCGGCGTGAGTACCGGACAGAGCTGGGGGTGGGGGGGGGGGGCTGTCCTGTCGGTTGGCGGCATGTGGCGTAAATCGATGCCGTGAGGGAACAAAGCATTAAGCCACAATTTGCAACCCAGTATGGAAACACGTTCCTGAAACTTTTCAAGCCACTTGCATACACATTGCTTTTGTGTGCAGAATGCATCACAGGAATCAAGATCAGTCAACGGAACACTTGTCGCCACCATAAATAGTGCCGCATTAGATCTACGATCCAGATAGTCTAGATCGTAAATAAATAGAAGATAATAATGCAAGATTAAAGCAGCACAGTCACCCAATGTTTCGTGCTATCCACTTTATCACGGGTGATATGACAGGTCGCCGGCCTGGCTCAGCCGCCGTCGGCGTAGCTCCGTCGGCGTCAGCGTATTCTGGTGGACACTGACGGGCCCGGGCTGGCTGGGTGGCCTAGTTACACGTCACAAATGGATCGCCGTCTGTCTCGGTGGTCCGCTATTTGGCCGTTCACGGTGCTAGATTCCAGCCACCTACCGTCTAGGCACCTGCCGTATAGCCACTCGCAGTCAACCACTCCACACAGTCCACCATATTCCGTTCCAATCCAACCACCGGCAGTCCACAAATGTACGTCTTATCACCTGCATCTTGGCTGGTGTCTCGGTGCGACATGAGCACTGAGCAGCAGTCTTCTCGTCAGCCTTATTGGTCGTTGGCAGTGACTGATAACCCACTCTGACACTGCGCTGGCCCTAGAGGTGACGAGTTATTCCCCGCGTGGTCACAACCAGTCCCGAGACTAGCCGCGAAGGTGCAGTCCCACGCCGGTCACCGCCGCGACATGCCGCTATCACAGGGCAATCCTGTCATCTGACTAGACCTGGACACGTTCCGTGACCGACTACGGTGTCATATCGTGTTAGATAGGAGAGCCGTTTAATCTGCCGGACGAACGGTGGAGAAACTCCCCGCGAGGCTCGAGCATCGTGTGAGCGTATTGCTCGTGACTGAGTTGCCCTCGGCTGTGTCTCTGGGCGCGGCAGCTGTACGATATGACCGTCTCCTCTCAGGGGAGCTGTCCAATCTGTGTCGGAATGGATGGCCTTGTGCCATCACATAAACTGGCCAGTTGCTAACGTCGTTCATCGGGCAGCGTTGCTCGGTAATGTTGGCGAACAGCAGCGAATGGTCGCAAACAAGATTGCTTTACTAATAGTCGCAAAGGCTGAGAAAGGGGCGGGTATGTTGAACATTTCCGCCGTGGACGGTGATGGTTTGAAATGTGACCAGGCTGTCGCCCAGGCCTCGTGCCGAACAAGGCAAGGCGAGTGCATGTTTGATTGGTTTTCAGCTCATGTAGCTATTGAGCAGTGTGGATAAAGGAGGTCCCAAAGAGTCCGTCTGTGGTACCTACTCTGAACTCTGTTCTCTAGGGCGAAGTTGGAGCTTTTACTCGGACCAAGGGCATGTACAGTCGGCATAATCATAACTGAAAGGCCAATCTACTTAGAGGATAGTTTTGTTCGAAAAGTTCCACGACGAATCCGTCCTTTCGCCGGCAAAGTTTGGGCGCCATCCCCCCCTCCCTTCTTGGATCGATGGTTTTCTCCTAATTATCTTTCTTCCAGCGCCTCAAGCGTCCGCTTCCGTCGGTAATTTGGTGACTCGACCACGCGGTCCGCGCCGCACGAGCTGGGTCCCCGCGCACGTCTGGCCCAGTTCGCCACCCGGTCCTCAAATCCGTAACACCAAATACGGTCCACCGTCTGCGGCGGTGTTGGCTTTCCTGTAGTGGTGTGGTCCTGCCTGCCGATTAGGCTCGTATGCTGCGGCGTGCGGGCCGATTGATCAAGCTCGGCAGCCTGACTCTCTCCAGTGCATTCTAACTACACGTGATACGCGTCCTGGGTAATTAAGAACAAAGCAGCCGCGGCTATTAAAGGCGGCAGATGCGGTACATATGAAAGTTCCGAGTCAGACATGAATTGAGGAGTAATGGGCTGCCCCACACATGTACTCGCTTAGAAAATTATTCCTTCTATTTTTTCCAATAAGTGACCGCAAACATGCTCATTTTCACATTAAGCGAACTAATGTGATCTCTGATCATCATCCCCGGGTGTTTATTATAGCATCCGGTCGGGCTGGCTACGGCGGTCCCGAAGTCTCCCTGGGATGGGGCGGCACCGGCTGTTCCAGTTAGTCTCTAAATTGTGGAAACTGGGAACCGTCCTGCCCTTTTCTGAATGCCGCTAGGTGGTCTAGGTCTCGTAACTATACGGCCGTGCTTTATCCGAGAATTGACGTAGTTCACGAATGGTCAAAATCCATGAATTGCTTCCAATTTATCATTGCTTTGACCACTTCAAATCATTTACTCACTTTTGTCCTAGCTTATTTGTTCATTCCCTCCATGGGGTAAAGCAAGAAGCTGCCAACCGAATTCCTCAGTACCGCAGTGCTCGCCTCATGCCTGGCCGCGCTCGTGGCAGTATCCCAGCTGGCCCAGTATTTTGTTTGGCGGCCCGTTTGGCAGCGGTGCAGAGCTACTGGTGCTGCCCCTCGCCACCTCACCGCCCCTCCTCCCTCTCCCCTCCGTGTGCTGGAGAACTTGGAGAGTTGTGCTTTTATCAGCTCATGATGTAGCTTGGCGGTCTACGGGCTGACAGGACCGGACGGTCTTACTGAGTTCCGGAGGATACTTGTGCCTAATGCCAATGCTTGAGCTTTCTTGTACCGACGGGCTGTCCTTCCAGCGGCTTCAATGTGCGAACGGCCGATTCTTTCGGTCCCTCTGGACTCTGGAGCCCTCTTTTTGGCGTTCCTTCGGGTTCTCCATTCAATATTTTCGTCACACCATAGGAGGCTCGAATCGAGCCCGCCCGCTCCAGCACCATCGTCCCTCCTATTTTCACCGATGATCGATTCTATTAATAGAAAGCTGGCCTGCCGACGGGCGCCGCGATGTGCCGTGGCCGTGAGATTCTGTTCCCGTCCGATGCCATCGGCGATGGTCCCGTGGTGCCGCCCACGAACGGTGGCCATCGTACGCCGATACGGCGTAACTGCCCCACGCGTGGCACCCAGCGTATGATTTATGATAGTGAGACTTTCTCCTGAGCGTTCAGTATCGGCTGAGTGGTCGTGGTGTCCTGCCAGTAACGTCTCCGCTGCTTCGTTGAAATCGAACGCTCGCTTGCAGCTCTTCGAAAACAAGAAAATCAACCCATTGTCTGTATTTTCCATTAGATGGCGCTTGAATAATTCTATTTTATAAAATTGTATTATGACATCCTGGGCTCAATTTCACCAAGTGCGGTAAACCCAATTTGGGGTAAACTACCAAACTACCCCGTAACCCCACTACGTAACTGCAAAAACTACCCCAAAATTGAGTTTGCCACACTGGGTGAAATTGGCCCCAGGGACCAATCTCACCATAGGCGTAGGAACAGGGGGGGCCAGGTGGGCAAGTGCCCACCCACTTTTCGAGGTGGGGGGGCCAACCATGTGTTTTGGCCCACCCACTTTTTACTCGAGGCCCCTCGTCTCGATTTGAGAGGACGTCGTCACCTCCCAGAATAAACAAACTCGGTAAAAATAAGTTCCACGAATCCCCACGCACGGACTCCAAGGGGCCGTGATGGATCCAATGAGGCCCTCTGTTCATACCTGTCAGTCGAAGCCCCTGAGACTGATGGCCTGAGAGGCCCTAGTGGATCTGAGGAGGCCCCAATATCCACACTGGTCTGGGGAGGCCCCTGACACTGCCGGTCTGGGAGGCCCCTCTATCCACACTAGTCAGAGGTCTGAGACTGGTGGTCTGGGAGGCCCCTCCATCCACACTAGTCAGAATAGGCCCCTGACACTGACGTTCTAGCCGAGGCCCCCTACCCTCACTAGTCAGAGGAGGCCCCTCTATCCCCAATAGTCAGAAGAGGCCCCTGAGACTGATGGTCTGGGAGGCCTATCCATCTACACTGTAGTCAGAGGAGGCCTCTGAGACTGATGACCTGAGAGGCCCTTATAATCACACCAGGCAGAAGAGGCCCATGAGACTGATGGACTGAGAGGCCCTTCTATTCATACTGGCCACAGGAGACCCCCAAAACTTTCGGTCTGGGAGGTCCCTCAATCCGGCACCAGTCAGAAGAGTCCCCTGAGACTGATGGCCTAGGAAGCCCTTATATTCACACTAGGCAGAGGAGGCCCCTGAGACTGATGGTATGAGAGGCCCTCATATTCACACCAGTCAGAAGAGGCCCCCGAGGCTGATGGCTGTGAGGCCCTTCTGTTAATTTAATTGGCCACTGGAGGCCCCTGAAACCGGTGGTCTGGGAGGGCCCTCTATCCACACTAGTCAGAAGAGGCCCCTGAGACCGACGGTCTGAGAGGCTCTTGTATTTATACTGGCCACAAGAGGCCCCTGAGACTGATAGTCAGAGAGGTCCACTCCTAATGAATCTGAGCGGGCCCTCTATCCACATTTACACTTTTCTAGGGAGGCCCCCGAGACTGATGGTCTGAGAGGCCCTTTTATTTATACTGTCCACAGGAGCCCCCTGAGATTAATGGTCTGAGAGGCTCTTCTATTTACGAGTATACTAACCAGAGGAGACCCCTAGGATTGATGGTCTAACAGGCCCTTCCATTTATACTAGCCAGAGGAGGCCCATGAGACTGATGGTCTGAGAGGCCCTTCTATTCAAACTAGGCAGATGAGGCCCCTGAGAATGATAGTCCGAAGAGCCATGCGGCGACAACTGGCCGTGGCCATATTTCGGCTCGGTAGGGCCCCACAGAGCTCATGAGAGCACCTCAAGGGCTCCTAAGTAGACACGCTTATCCCCATAAGGGTGCCACGCCGGCTTCTGAAGGCTCCTTGTAGGCATCTAAGGGCCCTTTCCGGCCGCTAACGGCTCCACCCGCCTGTGATGGCTCCACACCAGTGTTTATGAGCGCCACACAGCGGCGCCTTTGAGGGTCATACTAGTGTCTCT